TTTTATTAAAGGGTCATTTTTCGTGATGTTAAAAGATGAAAAAAATTTAGATAAACATGAATCTGAAAATTCATATTCGATATACTAAGTGATCTATAAACGAATGAACTTATTTCGTTAAGAGGATGGATGATATATACATACATACATACATACGTGTGTATCTACACACAGAGGTAATTTGCTATCTGGAGTGGGTTTGTTTAGATTTGTGACGGCACCAAGTGTCTAAGTGCTCTTTATATGCCCAGTTATTGCGATTTAAGATCATAATTACATAAAGCGCTCAATATCGTGCCACACTAGCTTGATTTAAACTTAACCTGTTCTTTCGTGCATGATAGTACCACGTGATGCCAGATCTTACACGACAATAACGTAAGATGTCACATTTTAAGGTGTACTATTAGTTAAAGTAATAAAAATGTCATTTCAAAAAGGGAAGTCTTTCGTTTTTATTCAAGATATTACACAATATTTTTTATGAAACAAAAAACGATATAAAACACAAATGTCTAATTATCAGATAATCACTGCGATTTTCTTTATACTTTTTTCTCTAACTTTTCTGGAGTTATTAAATCAAGAATTATACGGCTCCATCTAAGCGAAATAGTAATTTACATAACTGATTACTGTTGTTGTTTTAAATCAAGTGATGTTTCTACTGATGATGACTTTTAAAAACGGATTTCAGAGAACGTTAATTTTTTAAAAAAATAATGCAGATGAAAGGTCAAAGTGCACTGACCATTTTCCCCAGAACTCCCAAAGAAGAAGGAATCTGACTATAAGAGCCCCATAACTTGTAGTTTTTATCATGAAGGCGAGTGTTGGTCGACAAAACATGAGCTTGCACTTGTATCCCTATTAACACAACGTAATACAGAGATATGCTCCCTAAATTACCTCCTCCCTCACAGGTGTTTTCTCGCCCTAGTAAAGACTGCAACTTCTGCTTGTACGCACTGCTAACGATTTTCAGCCGAGGCATAACGGCCCATACAATGGCACTGAGTTTTCAAGTATAAACTATTAGTTCACAGTTCAGTCATCTCTTGACCGATTTGAGATCTAGTTACAGTTTTGGACTCGGAAGGTCAAACCCTTTCGACTGGCATATTTAACCAAGCCCAAGGTACCATACATTAACTTACTCTAATCCTGTCTAAAATAATTAATTTCAGGGTAGCCTGGTAGATATCCTGATGAGTAATAAAATCGAATCGTGAATACGTGCGCCTCACGCTTGGTATTGCTGGCGCACAAAAATATAGCTAATAATAGGGGGAAAAGGTTTACTAGATTAATTTACTCTAATCCTACCTAAAATAATTTCAAGTGCCGCGGCTACTGAGGATTCCCTCTTATTTTTTCAGAGTTTTACGAAGAGTGGCAGGGAATATTTGTAATACACGCAAATAAAAGTACAAAGAACTTAAGTAATTAAACTATAATGATTCTACAGTACATAAGAAAATATCTAGAAAAATAGTGCACTTTTAATATATACAGAAACTGAAACACCATAAAACAGACTTCAACGTGGTGAACACATGGTTTGGTTTGTAATATTTTGGCGCAAACCATACAGATTGTTTGTGTCAAACGACTAGTTGCCTCGTTTATTCAAACAACAAGTACAATAAAATAGTAAAAAAGACAAAAGAAGAAAGTTTACCATTAAAAACGTAAAGGAGAAAAATTACTTTATATAATGTTAAAAAATATAAATAGAATTATAAGGGCTTATGGCCCGTAAACAAAGTAAACTGCTCACACATTGATGGATCGTTTCCTTGTAAGAGAAAATGACGAGTGATGAAATTATGACCAGTGCTGACCCTTGTGAAGACAGCTTCCCCTGTTCGATTCCTGAGCGAACGATTAATCATTAATAGCAGATTTTATTTGTAAAAGCTTATTTAGACATTTACCACTTCAAATCCCATGCCAGATGGCGTAAAGCCTTGCCTTGACGACTGGATTAAAATCCAGGTATGGAACAGGCAATGCTGTAATGTCAACATGCTCGTTCCCTCGCATCCCGATAACGCCAAGTATCCAGAAACTGGCTAGAGATAAACGACAGTGGAAAATGGGCAGTCTTTGCTGAATATCAAGGGAAATTGAAATTATGCTATTCTAGGGCCTTTATTTATTTAAGTAAGCTAAGTATAGATGGTACAATTAGTGTACCGTTTAGCTTCTACGTAATCCAGACATCACATTTAGCTCAGCAGAATCTGTAGGGAGCAACTAGAGTTGAAGAAAACCATGGCAGAGACCACAAAGCGGAAAAGAGTGGACCGCAAGATGTTTGGTAAAAACAAGCGAAACTTCGCAGTGGAAGATGGTAACAAGTCATGGAAGGATAGCCAGATAATCACTTTCAGTAATATCACCCAATTTCAAATCAGATCCCTATTAGTCAACTTTGCCTGGATATGAAGTCCAAAAGTTGAAACAGATGACTGTCTATGTGCAAAAAGCAGAGCTCATCGAGCCATGAAGACGCATTGCCAGGTGAGATGCCACGGAGCTTTACATCATGCTGCACGAAAGTTGCAAACAACATCTCAGATGAACGGAGTTTCGTGGACCGTGTAATAAAGCTCTGGATCAGAGAAGTGTGTAAAGCTCCTGTGCAGAGACGAAGCCCCTGATGATGCAGGGGGTCCAATATTATTAGTGCAGAGTCCCTGGCCGAGGCATAGACCAGATATCCATAGTCCACTTTCAATCAAATGAGGTCATGACAGATATTGAGTATTAAACAATCTAACTGCGGAAGATGTTTGATACTGTTGTATAAACTTTAAAGTGTTTTGTGTGTGAAATAAAAGTCAGCTTACAGTCAAATAGAAGCCTTAAGGGCTTTGTCTCAGCCACCACAGAAATTTGCACACCTTCAGGATGGAACTCCGGATCAAGGTGCAATCCTCCCTAGCGGCAGAAATGCAAGCATACGGTTTTAAACAACAAACATTTGAAACAATATGCAGTGGTCACTCACACAACGTTTTGAGGACAGTCTGGAGATTCCATTCCATGTATTTCTTATTCGATGGCTGACAAGAAATCTGAAGGTCAGTGACATAAGAAGCTTTTTTGCAACTGCATGAGCCAGCTATTCTGTGATGCCATTAACATTGACTTCCAATCAGATCAAGCTAATTATTTAGAGCAAAACTAAAATTTAACCTGGTATTGGTAATGACGATAACCAATTTAATATAATTTTCCTACGTTTTCATTTATAAAAAATATTAGAATGTATTGTTTTATCACTTGGATATTCTCGTTGTTAACGATAATTTCGGCCGTAATCCCAATAATACCTCACAGGGTTAGACCAGTTTACGAGATTTTCGGGTTAGTTCTAAGTGCATATATTAAACTAACAATGCAAAACATTAATTAGAATGTAAGTATTATAAAAATACAAAAATAAAGAGTACTAAAATTTGACATATTAAACGTTCTAACCGAAACTGTCAATAAAAGTAAATAGAAAGAAAAAAACAGAGCATACTAATGATCTTAATTAATATGTGATTTTCAAGACATTACTGAGGTACTCAGAGTGCTTGTGGGAAAATCAGGATAGTACTGATCGTAAGTGGACCCAGAATAACCTCTGTGTCAAAACCTATTGGAGTTCAAAAATGTGAATGACCACATAACCCATGTGATGTCATAAGCTTTCTTAAAAAAGTAAAAGAGCAATATGATGCTCCATTTTAAGAACGACTTTCATGATCAATATTTAAAGTCAGGTGACCTTAAGTGGGTTGCTGTCCAAAGAAACCATGATGTATGTTGGAAAAGTGGTTGTTGATTCAAAAAGCCAAACAGGACTAACATCAGTAATAAACTTGAAAAAAAAGACAGCAAGTGATGGTCCTTAATGTTTAGAATACCCAAATTAAAGCAAGGTGTGTACTTAAATCTAGATAAAATACGAAAAGGCGTTAGAGAAGTCTTGCATGGGAGCACACAGAAGATACATAATAACAAAAGTACACTCCCGTTAGCAGTGAATCTATCGACAGTGAAATTCCTTGTGAATCATACAGTACTGCGTAAGATTTATAAGGGTCAGCAGCTGCCAGATACCTCCAGCTAAAGACAAGACGACATATGAAAGTATTTCACAGAGGAATTGTGGTAAGGACCTGTAGCTCGTAGTTCACAGAGGAATGGTAGTAAGGACCTGTAGCTCTAGTTCACAGAGGAATGGTAGTAAGGACCTGTAGCTCGTAGTTCACAGAGAAGTTGTGGTAAGGTCCTGTAGCTCTAGTTCACAGAGGAATTGTGGTAAGGACCTATAGCTCGTATTTCACAGAGGAATGGTAGTAAGGACCTATAGCTCGTATTTCACAGAGGAATTGTGGGAAGAACCTGTAGCTCTAGTTTACAGAGGAATTGTGGGAAGGTCCTGTAGCTCTAGTTCACAGAGGAATTGTGGGAAGAACCTGTAGCTCTAGTTCACAGAGGAATTGTGGGAAGGACCTGTAGCTCTAGTTCACAGAGGAATTGTGGTAAGGACCTGTAGCTCGCATACCGCTCTTCACAGCCGTGATTACAAAGCGTCGGCTTCCCACTGAACGTTGTAATTGAAGTGAAGAACAATGGAAACCACCATGCTGTGTAACGAATTTAGCAATTACGCTGACTTAGTGGTTATGAGTTTCATAATGTGCTAAACCCTCTATCTAGAATGACTGTTTCTGTTAGTTGATTTGGCTATTTAGTTATGTCTATTTACTCGTATATTGCAATATTTTGTTCACCGATATTATGGAAACCATGTATGATAATAACTCGTTAATATTGATACAGGTGTATTAACATTTCTATAAATTATCAGGTAGCAGCACACAAAACTTCTTGAAAACTGATTTAGGCTAACCATTTCAATAACGGAAAACTAAGCAGAACTTCCCAAAATAGGTTTAAGATTCCCTCTCGGTAAAGAAACATTTTAATGTACTCACCAAATATAGGTTTAAGGTGTCCGTTTTCCATGGTCATTCCTTGCTGTAATTCCAACATCGTCGACAGCCATGTTTCCAGTTCTTCTTCAGTGTCTAAGGCTACGGAAAGAGAGTCGTACTTGGTATGTAGATCAATGGCAAATTTCTGACGGCCATCCATCTTTCTGTTAATATTGAAACAAGCTCTCAAATCAACGCTTCGTTTCGGAGATGTTCCTAGTCTCCATTTTTTCTCACTGTCATAGTACTCGAGACGCGCTGGACCCGAGGCAGAGTCAGTTCGTAATACAAAGAATTTCTTTTTCAGTGTCTGAAAAACAAAACAACAACAACAGAAAGAAAAAAAACACTGTAAGACACAGTTCGAAAAGATTTCCGTATAGATATATTTCTAAAACGCTACATTGTATTAGCATCCACGAAGTACGCTTAGCTTAAGTTTGGGCCGAATTCTCTAATGTGTCGCACTTATTTCACGTTTCACTCTGAAAAATGCAACTTCAAATACACAAAAACTATGTCATTAACTAGTTTTTTTAACTATTAAAAGAAGCTATTATTCCACTCTAACGATTTTTTTATTACTAAACAGAAAACTAACAATTAATAAATCAAAATTTTCCTCTAAATAACCACTAATTATGGAGTACTGTTTGATTATAAATATAATTTTTTCAATATAACAATGATTCTACTGCAAGTCGCGATCAACATAAAAATAATATTTATTTATCTCCGAAGGTTAATTTTACTAATAACTTCAAACGTTTAAAGATTTTTGTCATAATTTTATGTTCCTAGTGTTCAAAAATAGTACTTCTGTTGTTTTTCTATGATAAAACTAATTATGTATAATCAAGTGGAAGTTAGTGAAAAAACGTATTCTATGAAGATTGTGAAAAACAAGTGGGTAGAAAAATAATTCAATGACGACTGATTCTGATAAAGGCCTGTTTTTGTTGTCATATGAAACAATTCTCGGCAGCGAGAAGCTTTAGAGGAGTATTTCTACTGAGCATTAGATGATATTAGAGCAGAGACTGTCGGGTGTATTCTGTAACAGATTTTAAGCTGTGGAGCTAGTGGGAATTTTCATTACTTTTATAATATCATATAAATTTATATTCACCGACATTATCTACTACACTTATAAATTTCATAGTTTTAAAATAGAGAAGAAAAATCAAGAATTTTCAAAGCGAAGGAAATTATTTTTAAAACACCAACTACTTTTACTTTTGTTAAGTTGAATACATTTGCAAC